TTGGTTTGTTTATTTATTTATTTATTTTAATGGAGGTGCTGGGGATTGAACCCAGGACGTGGTGCATGCTAAGCATGTGCTCCACCACTGGGCTATACCCTCTCCCCTGAAGCAATGTTTTAATAAGGGCTCTAAATTGGTTCTGAGTTGTGACAGTCATTACAGGTTCTCGCTGACTGACTGGGGTCCTTCTTTTCAAGTTTGGGCAGAACCCGATCTCACACTTTGTGCCTTTAGGGGAAATGAAGAGGACGGTCCTATAAGGTTTGTAGACAATGAAAAGCCCAGGGGATGGCAGGTTTGGAGGAGGTTTGAAGTTCAAAGTAGGATGCATTTAAGGATCATCCTTCTAACTTGTACCGGTTAACCTAGACTGACAGAGATATAGCATTTCACGTGAGCTAAACACAATCAGAGAGTCACGATCTACTCCCCAGGTCTGTGTCAAGACTTTACATGGGAGCTGCTACATCCACAAGTCCCAAGGTGCGAATGTGAAAAGAAATGCAAAGCGCAGGTAACGTCTGCAAAGTGCAGCCTGTGGGCTCTCTGCAGACCGAAAGCCATCTGGATGGTAAGCTTTGTGGTTTTCAAATACTCTCTCTCCAACTAATACATCAGGGCCATGCTGCACTGTGTGTGTATGTGTTTGGGGAGGTGATGTGTACGTATTACTTTGGTTTTTATTAGCAGTCCCTTCCTGCTGGGCCTTTGGGAGAGCTGACAGATGAAACATGGAAGAAAAGGGAGTGGATCACAAGTGCTCTGCTGTTATTCTGAGTTTTAGAAACTCTCTCGTGGCAAATAAATACAGAATGGAAGTGGAACATGGAGCACTCAAAAGCCACTTTTTGTCCCAAGTTCCGTGAATTCACTGTATCACTGTAATTTTACGTGTTTCAAGAGTCCCAGAGCAGCCGGGAGCACATGCATTAGTGCAACATTGTGGGCTCTGTCTAGGAAGCTGGGCTGTCACTCTGGTCACCTCCTGCAGTTCGCTCACTGCTTTGACAGCACGGTGGTGTCCCCTCCGGCCAGCCAGGGCACCATGGGGAATCTGATTCTACACTCCAACCCACTGGCCTTTTTCTTTTTGGAAGATATATGTCAACTACCACAGCCACTACACCTGGTGGCAAGTAAGAAAAAGAAAATCCAGTTACCAGTGTTTCAGTGGCCAAGTTCTCCACCTAAAGTGATGCCGTGACAATTGACAATCAGAACCTTGGGTCAAAACTAAGGGTTTAATATTTAAGTCTCCCATGCACAGCAGCGCAAGGCTGTCGGAGAGTCAACGAGCCAGTGCCTGTAACCCAACCCAGATTAAGACTTCTGATAACATTTGAGAGGATGGACCACATACGTTTCCACCTTGTCTCATTCCTCCAAGGATCTGGGGCTGCTGCCTTACCTCAGTATACATGTCCACTCACCTCGCACGTCTACTGTACATAAAACTTGAGATAGGAGGTGGTAAAAAAAACTTGAACAGATGAACGTATTTTAAAGTCTCCTTCCAAGGCTAATTTAAAATAAGCCCAAAGAAAGGGTTTATTTTCCTGCAGCATTAGACATTGTTGGAAAAAAATAATATTTTTGCTAAGTCTCTTTTATATCTATAGCAGATGAAGAGGAAAAAAGCATTCTCTGAGAACTCTTCAGTGTCATGAAAAGAATTTAATCTATGGAAGTGAGCCACCCTTAGCTAATCTAGTAAAGCTGGTTATTAAAGTAATAAAATCCTATCTGTATATTTGAGTGATTCTTATTATAAAAAGCTCTGGGTGCTTATACCACACAAGTGGTAAGTTTATCACAAAGCTATCCTGATCCCTTGATCCTGAATATATCAGAAAAGAATTTATATTTGAATCAAATTTTCAAATGCGCTCTCTTGCCTTCTGCCAGAACTTGGGGCAAATACAGATAATTCTCATAAAATAAACTGAAAAGATGGACTGGTTAAAAGTCAACAGTCAGTTGGAACACTTCTGCACTGCTGGTGGGGATGTAAAATGGTGCAGCTGCTACGGAATTCAGTATGATGGGTCCTCAAAAAATTAAAAATAGAATTACTATACTTCTGGGCATATACTCAAAAGAATTAAAGCAAGGACTCAAAGAGTTATTTGTGCACTCATGTTCATAGCGGCATTATTCATAATAGTCAAAAGGTGGAAGTAACCTAGATGTCCACTGATGGATGAATGATGGGTAAACAAAATGTGGTCTATACATACAATGCATATTATTCAGCCTTAAAAAGGGACATTCTGACTTAAGCTGCATACAACACAGATGAACCTTGAAGACATTCTGCAAAGTGAAATAAGCCAGACACAAAACCACAAACACTGTGATTCCACAGTGGAGTCAAGTTCACAGAGACAGAGAGGAGAACGGTGGTTGCAGGGGCTGCAGGTGGGGAGTGAGCGTTCAGTGGGGAAGCGCTTCAGTCGGGAAGATGCAGACAGCCGTGGGTGGACGGAACACAACAGTGTGCATGTACCTGATGCCACTGAAGTGCACAACTCATAGTGGTTAAGATGGTAAATTCTATGTTATATGCATGTGACCACAGTTAGAAAGGAAATGTGGAGGGCAGTGAAGACAGCCTCAAGCATGTTGATCATTTTTTGGGTGGGGTAAGTGGAGCCATTTCCACATCCGGGTTGCCAGGGGCTGGGCGGGGGAGGAGAGGATGGGGAGTTCGAGTTTCATGGGAATAGGGTCAGTATCACAAGATGCAAAGAATTCTGAA